ACTCTTTCTTGTTCTTTCTCTACCTTCTCCCTCTGAAAAACACTTTCATGGAGAAAGGCAGAAGACTCAGCCCTTCCCTGTATCGCAATACCATGCTTTCCCCAAATTTAGCATTGCTGCAAATAAACCTGTCTTTCTTACACTTATTTCTTTAACAGAATATTGAACAGATATTCTTATCCTCTAGCTCAGGCGTGGGCAAAATACCCTCCATGGGCCAGATCCAGCCCACAGATGCAACGGGGAGCCTCAGGCAGATTCCTGCCTTGACCCATGCTTCCCCCCCCCATCTCAATACTGCTCAGAAAAGTGTCTCTCTCTCAGCTGTGAGCCCAGGGGAGAGGGGTAGTGGTGCTTGACTCATTGCTTCCGCCCCTGGAACAATCCCATTGGCCGATTTCTGGCCAATGAGAGCTGCCTGTTTGAAGAACAGGCAGCACATGAAGCACCACTTTTCTTCCCTCAGCCTATATGTGGGCGGGGCCAAGATCTGTCTATGACGACAGGAATGATAGCAATTTAACCTGTTAAAGTGGTTTGGGGATGACACACAGATCATCAAGAGAAAATACTTTGGAGGCAAAAAGAAGAGTAAAATATCAAAAATTATTAGTCAACTGGGAAAATGTTAAGTTTAACCAGTTAACCGATTAAATAGTGGGGGGAGGGGGGAAGCTTCTGGGAAAATGTTAAGTTTAACTAGTTAACTGATTAAAGCTAGCTTCAGCCCAGCCAAGCTGGAGCGCCCCTGCCTGCAGTGGGCCATGTGGGGCTGATGCAGCCCTCTATCTGTGGGTGGGGGACTGCTCCAGCCCCCATGGATTAACTGTAACCATTCACATTCCTACTGTCTTGTATGACTAAAACCAGAAAATTACCATTTACTATGATGCACAGTGATTGTCAGTGAGGGCTGCTTTTATAAACACTTTACTGTGGCACAGGCACATTACCATGAGCTCTATCACAGATGGACTTCTGAAGATTGTAACTGGAGTGACACATACAACTTAAAATCTGGCAACTTGTATCTAAAATATATTTCTCTTGCAGATTTCCTTGGTGGATGAATTGAAATCCTGGTGCATGTTAAAGATTCAGAATCTGGAGCTGAAGCTTTCTGGAGATTCTCGGTCTTCAAGACCAAAATCAACTCTGTCCACTTGTGAGTCCCTCACTGAGACCCTGGATACAGAGAACCTCCATACTGCCAAAGACTGTAGAACTAACCAGAGCCCACTACAGTCAGAGGACTCACAGCAGCATTCTTATATCACACTTCAGAACAGTCTCTCAGGAGACATCGGGAGAAGTAGAGTCCAGACATCAGAACAAAGCTTTGGAAAGCATTACTGTCCTGTTCAACAGGACACTACATCAGGTAAAATCTTGTTAGACATGTATATAGTATTCAAAGACATGCGAATTAACAGGGGAAGCTTTCACAGAATAAAAATGCCAAAATTACTCAACTGCAGTGGTATCCTTTCCTTCTAGTCATTAATACCTCTTTTCACCCACTTCCATGTTTTTTGGTTAAAAAGGCCACCACTAAAGTTTCAGGATTTTGTTGGCAAAAATTTACCTCATCTTTTTTGACACTGTGGCTGGGTATGATACGTTACTGTTCCTACATTTTTCTTGCCAAATCTTCAGCTAGTGAAAATAGATGTAATTGCTATGACGTTTCTACCTCTTTCTGGGGCAGTGGAGAGCTGGGTTTTCTCACAACCTACTCTTCTTATATGTCAGCATGCACTGAATTGTCAAATGTCCATTGAATCGACTATACTGTATTTTTTTATTGGTGCATGCAGAGTACCTCGTTACAAACAGGCTATTCTTTTATGATTTATCTACCCCAACTCCATGCACACTTTGGCTGTGTCTAGACTGCACCCCTTTTCCGTAAAAGGGATGCAAATTAGACACATCGCAATTGCAAATGAAGCGGGGATTTAAACCCCCCCGCTTCATTTGCATAAAAATGGCTGCCGCTTTCTCAGCCCCGAGCCGGAAAAAAGCGGCAGCCATGTTTATGCAAATGAAGCAGGGGGGATTTAAATCCCCGCTTCATTTGCAATTGCGATGTGTCTAATTTGCATCCCTTTTATGGAAAAGGGATGCAGTCTAGACACAGCCTTTTGGTTAAACTTCCTTTATAACTTGGTTGATGTTTTAAGAGGAATAAGGGATCTTTCGGAAAAGGCAAAGCTCCGAGCCGGAAAAAAGAGGCAGCCATTTTTATGCAAATGAAGCAGGGGGGATTTAAATCCCCGCTTCATTTGCAATTGCGATGTGTCTAATTTGCGTCCCTTTTATGGAAAAGGGATGCAGTCTAGACACAGCCTTTTTGTTTATACTTCCTTTATAACTTGGTTGATAATCACAACAGGAGTGCATTCCATTTATGAAATACATATTGTTTCCTGTTTCTAATATTACTTCATGAACAGCTTACTAAGTATAGTTCTACTAGCATACACTAACCTAAAACACCAAAAGCCTGTCCTTTGTGATGTCCAATCTTGCTGGCCTACAGAAAAGGCATCCTTGTGATCTCATCACAATCTATATTTTTGGGCAAGTAGGTTTCATTTTGTTTTGAATGTGTGTTAAGTAACAAGCCTGTGAATTTATCTATAGAAAGACGTGATATAAGACAATATATTACAACCTCTACAAAACGTTTTTTTTTTAATTTATAGGTGCAGAGCAACAAATGACAGCTGGTGGTACAGCTCCTTCTGCAATCCCTCAAGTTGTTAGGCCTAAAGACAAAGCTTTTAGTTCCGCTGCTTTTGACAGATTCCAGCAGGAAGTGCCATTGTCAGAGCATTCAGGTTCCAAATTAAGGCATGTTAAGGTACAAACTGCTTTGCAGCCCCTGAGTGTGTGTGAAAAGACTGAGCAACAGAGTGGGTACTTCATAAACAAAGGAACTCAAACCAAGAAGTCTGGCAAAAGTGGGCAGTCCAGACACAGACCCCAGCAACATACAGTAACGTATCATACCCAGCCACAGCAACCATCTGCTCTGCCTGGAGATCAACCAGCCCCACAGATCAAAGACACTTCACAAGCTTTGGAGATCACTCAGTACTTTTTTGAGGCTGTTTCCACTCAAATGGAAAAGTGGTATGAGCGCAAGATTGAAGAAGCCCAGTGCCAAGCTAATCAAAAAGCACAGCAAGACAAAGATGCACTCAAGGAGTATATTAAAAGTTTAGAAGAAGAGCTCAATAAATTAAGGACGAAAGTGCAAAAAGAAAGCTAGCATCAACAAAATATGTGTAGGAATGGAAATTGAGGAATTCGTTTTTATTTGAACTATGGTGTGGCTGATTTGGGGATTGATTAGCATGTAAAGTATTACACCCAATACCTACAAATATAAAAACTGACCCTTTTAATAAGATGTAATGTTTGAGTTAAGAAACTCCAGAATTACAGGGAATTAATATTAAAAAAAGATTCTGTCCATGTAGTCACAGTAAATCTCTGCAGGTGGGACTATTTTGTGAGATTCATTTTATTCCAAGCCCATAAAATTTTACAGTCAGAAATTAGAATTACCAGGTATTTCACCACAAGGTACCAATAACCTAAATTACATTGTGAAAGATGAGTTTTCCCATTTCCTTGTAGGTCACAAAAAACATCCATTTGAAATTATTTTTTTAGAAATAAGTTACTTGTTTATAGCAGCTTCCCACTGATACTTCCCTTTGCCTTAGGTTTGCATTATTCATGCACATTATAACTTTGACTTCTCTGTAACTGTTTTGAATAATTATTACAGGTTATGTGATTAGTGAAGGTATTTGTATTCAAGTAACCTTACTGAAAAGTTGTAATTTCTTATTTCAGTTGAGTGGCAAATATTTTCCCAAGATCCCACTATGTTTTATGAGCAGCAGTACATTCATAGGCAAGACTCTTCCTCTGAGATGTCTCATTCTCCTGTAGAAAATTGGAATTTAAACACATAGACCCAGTGTGAATTGCTGGCTCTATTGAAGTCAGTGACAAAGCTCCCACTGTCTTCAGTATGGCCAGAATTACACTCCAAACTACTTGCCTCACATGTTATCCCTCGTCACTTAAGAGGTGCTAGAGACGTTAAAATTTGTATATTTTTGAAATTTTCAGTGGTTACATGTTTACACAGCGGAGGCAGAAGCCAATATTTATGGGGAGCCAGCTTTTAATTTGGCTCCCTATGAGCACTATGGGATCCTGCCTCCCCTCCCTCACTGCTGCCTCTGATACAGAGGCAGTGGAGGGGCAGTGAGCTCTGCGGAAGGCAGCAGCCTAGTGGGGAGGGGAGAGGCAGCTCCATAGGAGCCAGCTCCACACATGCACTGGTTCCCACCTCTCCCCCTGTGCTGCTGCCTCTGATAGAGAGGCAGCAGCAGGGGGTGAGGGCAGTGTGTGTGTGTAACTGTGTACACGTTCACATACCTTTAAGTGTCCTCCTCTTTCTTTTTTTTTTTCCACATCCAATTCCCTTTAAGTAAAAAAGGGAAGAATTATGTATGTCCATTGTTTTCTAAAGGAAAATCCATTCCACAGATCACCAGTCTTAATAATTACACAACTGCAAAATGACTAGTGGAATGCCAAGGCTGACTGAACGGAACAGGAAATTCTGGTAGCAGTTTGCCTACATCTTTTTCCATAAAATGAAAACTTCCAACCTTAATGAACTGCTATTGAGAATATTTGTTTATCAGCGTTTATACTGCAGTAGTATCTTAAGGCCTTAACTGTGTCGGGCCCCAGTTCCGCTCAGTAATGTACAAACATAAATTACCATATATAGCTGCAGTTCTAGCCCTCTTAATCTCTTAGGGGGCTCCAAAAAATACTGATAATAGAGACAAGGTTATTTAACAGAGATCATGATAATCCAGGAACAGCTATCCTAAATTACTCCACTTAAAAAACTGTAATATTATGACAAGGGAAAAAAAGCAAGCAATCTCTTGACTAAAAATCCAGATGACCAAATCATACTTCACAGTATTGTAAACATGACATTAACTCTTTAGAAATTGAGCTTGTATCTTTTTTAGTAAGTGTATAAAGCAAAGAAAATTGTATTATATTACAGTATTTTTAATTCGTCTTAATGCACTATTAAGACAAGTACAGTGTATCTGTAGTAATGGGGATATCTTTTATTGGTAATGCTTTGACTTCAGTAGTCAAAAATAATTAGACATTTTCATGTTTACAACTTTTTACAGACAATTGTTTAAACTACTGTAGGAATGCAGAAGCATGTTGTCTATTTAATTTTTGTATTGTCTTGATACAAAAGGTGAATGTTTTTGCAGAGTAATTAAACTTAAGTGTTGTTCAGAAAGCTATCTTTCATGAGTTTTCTGGCGTTACAGATTTGAATATTGTAGTTCAGGAGTAGGAACTAAGAGGCTTCTTAAAATAATAATTATAGAGGTCCCCTGAATTCTAATCCCAGTTTTCCCGCTAATTTACTGTTTCTAAAGTATAGATGTGGATAATATTTAATTTCTGTCCTTATCATAGAGAACTGCTGTAATGATTAACTAATTTAGGGGCAGGTATTATTCATCCAACCAAATATTTACCATCTGACATAGGAAAAGGGGAGCCTTTTCTGGCATTCTCCCCCACCCCCTATTCTACACAAAAGGCACAATTTAAGGATTCTTGACTGCTACAAACCTAATCCACATAACTTTTTACAGACACACCCAAAGTGAATCCCTGTATTCCAGGAGAGTTTCTAATTCCTGCATGAACTCCTACAGAGCTCATAACTCGTAGGTTTCTGGCCAAAAAATTCACATCATACTTACTGGAGCCTGACTCCTTAACAGAACCAGTTGGCTTAGACACCTCATGGGATGCTCTCAGTCAAGAACTGTATCTCAGGTGGAAGTCTTAAATTGTCCAAAGTGGGTCAGAAGTGACAAAGTTAGTTTTGATCTGTAACGTTTGGTACATAAAATTGTTCATAAAAACTAAGCATAAGCTTGAGTAAAGAAATTTATAAACTGGATGTCTGAACTAAAAACTGTGAATACACAGGTTAAAGACAGGTAAGAACACAGAATTGCTATAACAAATTAAAGTGAAAGGAAATGCCCGTGCTTAGGATTGCTAGATGTTGGTTTTGATTAACAGTGTCACTCCTTTCTGTATATGCTTTTCTGGAGGTAGCTGACAGCTTGTTGAGTGGAGAGATAAGAAAGGCTTTACTGAGAGTCAGAGCTTCACAAATCATGGTTGTCGCCCTTCTCTTCACTTGCTAAGTCCTGAGGATCTTCTGCCACATCATTCTCCTGCATCAGAATGATGCTCTGATCTCATGAGGATAGTGGAGGGAGACAAAAAACATTGCAATGCCTGGGATATGAACTGGATATTCCTTACTCTCTGTTTGTGTGTCAGTGCCTCCTTATTTCTTCTACCTCTTTTTTGGCTTCTGTCCCCTCTTGGCCTACACTAGGGAGATATCTCAAAATAAGGGGGGGTTATGTTGAAATAAATGGAGTGTCCTCAAAATAATGGTCTTATTAGTGAAGTAACAACTCCTGCTTTCCACGAGGAATAATGCTAATTTTGAAATATAGATTGTACATCTGAAAACTGATACTCGTTGGTCCAGCAACATCCTTGGTCCTTGAACCACAGATAATCCTGGACCAGAGCGCCCTGGAGCTGAATGGAAGCCTGGAGGAACCTCACAGCAGTGCTGAGGCCAGGCACTGGGACCACATTGCCTCAAGAAGGCCTGTCCCAGCCCCCAAAATCCACAATGTTAGATACAATACACTAGGTGCTGGACAGAAAAGAACAAAAAACAATTAGACAATATTGGTCAGTATGATTTGCAAGAGTGTAATCCTGCAGCAGCAGGCATAGAGAAAGGAGAGCTGGGTGGGGTTCTGTGTGTAGTAAAGATGTTAAATTGAAGTTACCTGGTGTAGTTGATAAGGACCACTCTGCAGAGCCACAGCAGGGTTAGCTCCAGAAGCCTGCTTGAGCCAGAACAAGCAATCCCGGCTGTGCTGGCTCTGGGAGCCACCTGCACCGTGGCTCTGCATTTTAAATGTAGTAAGAGCCACTAGGCTTTTACTGTATTTAAAATGCAGACACGCAGCATCCCAGACCAGCATGAACTGGGACTGCTTGGTTCCATCTTGCAATGAGTCCAGCAGCCCCTGTTTGTGGTGGACAGCCCTGTCTGCCTTGAACAGGGACTGCTGCTGGAGCACCCTCTGTTCGCAGTTGCCAGGGCTGGCTGTAGCTAGGGGCAGCTGCCGGAGCAGGTCCTGTGTGCAGTCAGCCTGGGCTGCCAGGAACAGGGACTGCTTGGCAGCAGCAGCTGCTCCTATCCCCGCCCTTTGCTGCCTTTGACAGAGACAGCGTGGGGCGGAGTGGGGCCAGCACTACGGAGATGGTGCTGGGGGGGAACCAGCTTTTAAGCCGGCTCCCCCCAGCACTGGCTTCTGTCCATTCCCCCCCTTGCTGCCTCTTATACAGGCAGCAAGGGGGGAAGCGAGTAGTTGATACTGCAGTCGATTATTCGTTAACACTGCTAAAGGTATAGCCCACAATACATTTTGTTTACTGTTGCCCATGCACAGGGTTGCCAGAATCTGCTGGTTTTTGTCCACATAGTTTTTTTCCCTAACAGTATTACAAAAGTGACACATCCTTAAAGCAAAGGCATGTGAAATGAGGTACACATTGATTGCAAACAACATTGTGAGAGCCATGTGCTCCCTCTGTATCCAATCAAACTGCTGCTACAGTTCAATTGGCACTCCCTGCAAATTCTCAGTACACTAGTACCATTAGCAAAACTGCCCTATCCTGGAAGACCATCTTGGTTATCACAGCCTTGCGGCCCGCTGAGATGAAGGAGGGCCATTTATGTGGCCAGCTCACTAGCAGAGGTTGCCCCTCACTGCCTTTGATGTTAGCACTCAGGGACACTGCTCAAAAAAGGTCCTTCTAATAATCAAGAAAGCAGATTATTGATAAGAAGGTCATGTGAGATTCTGAATAACAAACTAGGGAAATACACCATAGATGGAGCTACTATAAGGTGGGTGCATAACTGGCTGGAGAACTGTTCTCAGAGAGTAGTTATCAATGGTTCAGTGTCATGCTGGAAGAGCATAACACGGGGTGGGTAATAATTTTTAATGAGGGGCCACTAAGATTTGGTAAATGGTCAAGGGACACACTTCTGTGGAGGAGGTAAGGGGTCTGGGATGATGGGTGGGTTAAAGAAGGGAGCTTGGGATAGAGGACTAGGGTGCAGGAGGAAGTGTGGGATCTGAGAGGGAATTATGATCTGGGGCAGGGGCTTCGGGTGAATGATCCATGAGTTGTTATGGGTGCAGGAGAGGATTCTGGCCTGAGGAAGGGGTGCAGGAAGGTGTGCAGAGTCTGGAAGGGAGATGTGACCTGGGGGAAGAGGTGAAGATCATTTGCATGGTGCTGTGGGGCAGGGGAATGGGGGTAGGGAGGGGTATAAGTGCAGGAAAGGATTCTAGCCTGGGGGAGGAATGCAGGGTCTGGGAGGGAGTTGTGAGCTGGAAGAGAGCAGGAAAAGGGATACAGAGGGTTTTGGGTGGTGGCCTGGGGCAAGCAGTTGCCGGGAGAGAGGGGGTGGGGTGCAAGAGGTAGGCCTGGGCTTACCCAGGCAGCTCCCAGCTAGCAGCACTGCAAACTCCCTGCCTCTGTGCTGGGCAGCTGCTCCACATGGCTCTGCTCCAGGGAGGGTGGGGGTTTCATTTGCTGCCCCTGCCTTCAGAAAAAAAATGTCAGCTCCTATTGGCCAGAAACTGGCCAATGGGAGCTGGAGGATTTTGCTATGGGGTAGGGACAGCTTGCAAAGCTTCCTCCTCCCTGCCCAGATAGCATAGTAATTAGCAGCCTGCTGTTTAAAATGGCTGCTCTACTGTGTAGTAAGTGTGTTGGTGAGGTGGCCGCAGGCCACATCTGGCCCACTAGCCGCCTCTTGCCCACAATGGCATAACAAGTGGAGTTTCACAGGGATCAGTTTTGGGATCAGTTCTGTTCCATATCTTCATCAACGATTTAGATAATGGCATAAAGACTATGTTTACCACTGAGTGTGTCAAGTTCTGGGCACCACATTTTCAGGAAAAATGTGGAGAAATTGGAGAAGGTCCAGAGAAGAGCAACAAAAATTATTAAAGAGCTAGAAAACATGACCTATGAAGGAAGACTGAAAGAACTGGGTTTGTTTCATTTTGAAAAGAGAAGACAGAGAGGAGACTTGATAGCAATTTTCAAGTACCTAAAAGGGTGTTATTAAGAAAGAGGAGGGGAAAAAATTATTCTCCTTAATGAATAGCAATTTTCAAGTACCTAAAAGGGTGTTTAAGAAAGAGGAGGGGAGAATATTATTCTCCTTAATGCCTGATGATAGGACAAGAGGCAGTTTGGCTTAAATTGCAGCAAGGGAGGTTTAGGTTGGACACTGGGAAAAATTTCCTCAGTGTCAGGGTGGTAAAACTGGAGAGGGAGGTTTAGGTTGGATATTGGGAAAAATTTCCCCAGTGTCAGGGTGGTAAAACTGGAATAAATTGCCTATGTTTCTGTGAAATTGTGGAATCTCCATTCATTGGAGATATTTCAGAGCAGGTTAGATGAACATCTATTAGGGATGATCTATGGTGTGTGGTCCTGCTATGAGTGCAGGGGACTGGTCTTGATAACCTCTCAAGATCTCTTTTAATTCTAGTAGTCTATGATGAAAAAATCAGGACATGCTAATAAAGAGCCAACTTCCAGAGTACTGATTTTCTTTTGAATCATTCATTTTTATAAAATTATCTTGTCAGTGTCCCTTTAAGAAATCTATGGGAGCAATCTCTCTTAATGGAAACCACAGATCTGTGTATTCCAGTGTCTTGTCATTGGCAGTAGCCAGAACCAGATGCTTCAGAGAGAGGCTCAAAAAACCACACAGACAACACATTCTGGAATGTAGCCAAACTACAGGAGAAATTCTTTCTAGCAGTCTATCAGTCACTGAGGGGCTGGCTAACCAGCCTGATTGAAAGACTAAGTCTGCAGGTACAGCTTTGAAAAACCTTGGTCTGCTACTTATTAGAAATGAACCAAGACATAGTAACTGGCAGCTGTATTTATCTGTTGTTTGGGTATATAACTATATACTTTCAGAGAAACTCAACCTCCTTTACTTTTGAAATTAATATAAACAAAACATGTTGCTATTCATGTGGGGAATACAGCATAAGGAAAGGCCACAACATTACTATACCTCTTCTGTTTGTCTACTTTATGCTGGATATAAACACTTGTCAGTATAATCACAAGAAGGTATTTGTGAATAAACCTATGCAGGTTAAATTCTCTCACTTCTTCAAACAATGACCAGGATCACATTATCACCTATATATGAGGAATTTTCTTAGTATTTTGAACAAGTTTCTTATGAAACAGAACTACTTAAGAGATACGAATGTAGAAAAACAAACACAAAAATCTCGTTTAAGTTTATTTTCTTTCGTTGCCAATGCTGCTGTTATTCAGCACTTTCTGCTTGTCCCTCGAAAGTACTATGTCGCACTTTTGAGTATTTAAACAAATACGGCATAATTTGTCTACAACTGCCAAATATGCTGGATAAGATAAGAAGAGAAAGGAAATAATGGTACTGTATGATATTCTACCTTGAAACATTACCGATATCTTAGCATAAGACCATGTGCTGCATTCTAGAGAAAGTCCAGTACTTCCCACAGTGGATGAAAGTCCATTGGCTCTCAGAATCAAGGTTAGGAGTTTGCCAGCTGAAGTGTTCTCTCAAGTTCTTGAAGCTGCATGTTGCCCTGAGTAATCATCATCCTAATTGCATCCTGTAAAGTGAAAAGGAATCTGTTGGATTGAACTTATATATTGTAATACACTACAGTATAAACTTTTTGCAAGAGTTGCATTTTTCACTCAATTTCTTTGCCTGGGTCGTCAAGGCAATTCAGCCTCTAAGACAATGAAGACTTAAACAATATGTTCATTATTGGAGATAGGTGAAGCAACTGTCTCTCACCAACAAAGACACTCTCTCACCCACCTTTTGTCTCGGATATCCTGAGATCAAAACGGCTACAACACTGTATGTTAATCTGACAGTCATTTTTCCTTAAATTCTTAACAGTGCCATTGGAGGTTATTTCTGTGGCTTAAATGTTAGAGGAAAAGTTTCTTTGATTCCAAATCTAACTAAATTAGTATTTTCTTTATACATCTATGCCCTTTCCAACATTTCTGTGAATAAATGGTGAGAACCACAGATGTGCATTGCAGAGAGTGATTTTTAAGAGATAAATGATGTTGACATTGTTTTGGAATAAGGTTGTTAAGGACTAGTCAAATGCCTATTAGGTAGTCAATCGACTAGTTGATTTCCCCTCCCCCCTTGCTGCTTCTATCAGATAGAGGCAGCAAAGGGGGGCGGAAGAAGGGGTACTTCAAAGTGGCAGTGCCACACAGCTGAGCCAGGGATCAGCTGTGTGGCACTGCAGGCCGCCGTGGAGCCCGGGGTCAGCTGGGGAGTCCTCAACTGACTCTGGGCTCCACAGCACTGCCCCTTTGAAACACTGCGTTGGCATTTCAAACGGGCAGCGCCATGGAGCCCGAGGTCAGCTGGGGACTCCCTAGCTGAACCCGCACGGCAGTTCAACAGAATCTGGGATCAGCTGGGGACTCCCTAGCTGACCCCAGGTTCTGGGGAAATGCCACACGGAACCCGGGGTCAGCTGGGAGTCTCCCGCTGACCCTGGGCTCTATGAAATGCACAAGAGCCCCTGTTGGGAACTCTTGTACATTTCAAAGCAGGCATGCCCGCGTGCAGCCCGGAGTCAGCAGGACTTCCCGCTGGCCCTGGGCTGCATGCAGAGTTCTGTATTCCTCCTCTGAAACGTGCAAGAGCCCTAGCAATGGCTCTTGTACATTTCAAAGGAGGAATGCAGAAGTGCCTATTGACTAGTAGTCAATGGAAATGTCGTCAACTACTCGACTAGTCAATTAACCGCAATTTAACATCCTTATTCTGGAATTCTTTATATCACTTAGCCTGCATAATTCCAGCTAGTTATGCCTCAGTACTGATTAAGAAAGGTGCAAAAGCTGACAAACAGGGGAGTAGAAATGTTTGAGGAAAGGTGAAGTTGTACCCACACATTGCTCTTTCAGTTTAAATCAATACTAATTTAAATATGACTCTTATAGATGATATAAAAATGCAGCCCCAGCATATGTAAACTTATAATTGCTTTTCACCATTCAACACAAAACTGTAATATTTTTGTCTGATTCTTATTGCAAGCAGTTTGTTTTCATTTTTAATTCCAATTTACTCAATTTACAGAATCAAAAAACTTTACAAGCAAGCAAAAAAGAAGGGAAAGTGGTGATAGTTTTCATAAGATTCCAAGGCCAGAGAGAATCAGTGTAATTATCTAGTCCACCCTTCTATGTAACATAAGCCATAAAACTTTCCCCAAATCATTCCTAGAAAAAAGAGGGAGGGGGACACTGTACTGCTGGATTCGGGCCGCTACCTCTGTCCCATGGCCCAGCAAGAGTTGTGCAGTGTCCCCGAACGCCAATCAAAGCGGCTGGCTCTGGGGGAAGGGAGAGCATGTATTCTGTGCACTGCAAGCCCTTGAGGGGCCTTTCTGCACTGCCCCTGCCCCCAATACATCTCACAACTCCCACTGACTGAAAAATGGCCAATGGCAGTTGCCTGGGCCATGCTTGCACAGTTCAGGCAGCACGCAAGGCCCACCCTCCCAATTCCTAGGGGCTAGTGATATGCACAGGACCCTAGAAGCCAGCCACTTTGAGGGGTTTGTGGGGGCACAAAAGGCAAGAAGTCTTCCTGATGGCACCCCGGGCTGCTGGCTGGGAGCTGCCTGGCACCTGAGCCCCTCCCTTCCCTCAATCCTCTGTTCCACCTCCTGCACCCAAGTCATAACCCCAACCCTCTGCATACCTAACTCCTGCACTCATACCAACACTCAGACCCTATACTCCAATCCCCTTCATCACCCACCCCAGGTCACAATGCTCTCCCAGACCTGACCCCCTCCTATATCCCTCCTCCAGGTCAGAATAATTTCCTGCACCCATACCCATATCGACTTCCAGATCCTGTATCCCATCCCTGCCTCAGTTCACAACCCCTTCCTTCACCCAAACTTACCCTGAGTTCCGTTCTGAACTCAACCTCCATCCCAGACCCCACACCTTCTCCATTAATATCATGGAAGAGAATCACCCTTGACCACTTATCAAATACTTGGGAGTGGCCCCCCTCATAAAAATTATTGTCCATGCCTGTCCTACAGCACGTGTCATTGGATCATATTATATCTTTCTTTCCAAGGCTGAAGAGGCCATTATTAAATATTTGTTCCCTGTTTATGTACTTGCAGACTGTGTCACCCCAATCTTTTTTTTGTTAAACTAAATAGATTGGATCTTTCACTAAATCCTGTTTTCTAGTCTTTTAATCATCCTGTATGGCTTTTGTATAAACCTTACTCATTTTAGTAAAATCAACAAAATAGATTCTAAAAAAGCTTACAGAAGTCTTGGCACAGTTCTTAAAAAAACATAGCAAAAAACCTATGATTTGTAGCACTAAGTGTGCTGCCAAATATATAAAGGGCACTGCTATGAGGCTGCTGCCTCCTATTCATCACCTCATCTATAGCATCTTTATTTTTTTTGAATTCTTCCCTTGCCCACTCCTTTAGATAGTGCCGATCAGCTTCAGTAGGTACCCGACGAATAGCCTGCAGAATTCTTCTATATAACTGAAGAACCTGCTGCCTTCTCAAGAACTGAAAAAAAAGGGGGAGGAGGAGGAAAGCCAGTTACATCGGTTGTGCCAGTCATCTCCAGTCAGTTATATAATCAAAGACAGAATTTTAAAAAACCTTTATAGAGTTTTAAGCCAAATACCACGTGGAAATTAAAGAAACCAAGAGAAAATACCTGCTATGAAAGTTTAATCTATAATAAGCTTAAAATTTAGAAGACAAATAGAGTACATTTAAAATTTGAATGGCCTAATCTGAGTTGGGTTATTGAAATAGAGGGAAATTTGTAAAAAGGACTAGAAACATTCATTATTATCTATATTCCTAATCATAGACCAGGACGTGTACGTGTACGTGTGTGTGTGTAAAAAAATAACACAGAAAGATGATCCCGGTCTCATGCATCATATAATCTATAGCCTGCTCTACATATACTTTTCCCACTAATATAACTATTTCAGTGTGTGAGGGGGGGGGAAGGGGAGTGAGCTCACTATATTTAGATTAGGAAGAATTAATTTGTAGGGGCAAATGTCAATTTCTCTATATATGCACAAATCAATAAAATATTTCTATTGATATTCAAAATGTACAGATAGGCAAAGCAAGAAAAATACTGCTTGAGAACTTATGAGAGGTTGATTTAAAGATCTTTACTCTGTATGTTTTGACAATTTATGTTTTAAAGATGATAAAATATTTAACTTTTGAATTTCAATGACTACTGTCCTTAAGTGATTGTCTGAACCCCTTGCAATGCCCCCTCATAATTTAAGTATGAAAATGTAAATAGCCAAAAACTGAAAATAAAGCTTAACAATAACATCAATGTTATCTATTTAAAAAAAAAAATCAAAATTCTGCTAAACCTAGTTACATTGGTACAACCCTAGTCTGTGTCTACATTGGTGCGATTTGCACAAAAGCAGCCGCTTTTGTGCCAAAACGTGCTGCCTGTCTACATTGGCCACGAGTTCTTGCGCAAGAACACTGACGTTCTAATGTATGAAATCAGTGCTTCTTGCACAAGAACTATGATGCTCCCACTCAGGAATAAGTCCTCTTGCGCAACTGTTCTTGCGCAAGAGGCCAGTGTAGACAGGCAACATGAATTACTTGTGCAAGAAAGCCCTATGGTTAAAATGGCCATCGGAGCTTTCTTGTGCAAGAGAGCGTCTACACTGGCAAGGATGCCAGTGCAGACGCTCTCTTCTGGAAACGTTTTTGCACAGGAACTCTTCTGCAAAAGAGTTCTTGCGCAAAATCATGCCAGTGTAGACGTAGCCTAGCTAATGTGGATGTAATTATACCAGTATAAAGTGCATCATTTCCCAACACCTCTAGGTGTTGCAGCTCTAGGTATACCAATATAAGCACTTTTATATAAGTACTACAGTGTCTACATTTAGGGGTGTAATACTACTTTAACTATACTGTGCAGTATAACATTTGCACAGACAAGCTATAAATATAAGACAAGAGACAACAAACAGATACAGAGGGGAGAGCTGAAAAACAAAAGATAATAATGGTCAATATGGTTAGACACTGGTCTCAGCAAACCAGCTGCATGACTATTGTCATTTTTGTAAGCATTACAGCAAGAGAGAGGTGCAATTGCTGATGTTTCTGGAGCACTAACCCCAGGCATGAGGGGCAGCATGGGAGAAAGCACAAAGAAGCTTTGAGATTTTAAAAAGTGGATGATCATTAAGGGTATGCCTAGACTGCAAGCTTCTTTCAAAAGAGAGCATCCACACCTCAAAGCTGGATCAAAAAAGCGATCTGCTTTTTCGAAAGAGCAGACTGCATGGACGCTCTCGTGAAAGAAAGCCCTGATTGCTATTCATAGAATGGGCACCAGGGCACCTGTGCTTTTTTCAATTGCGTTTTCTTTCAAAAAATGTCCCTGTTCTGTGTCCACAGAGCTCTTTCGAAAAAGGCGTTCTTCCTCAGAATTTGAGGTTTACCAATGTTGAAAACCCCCCTGCATTTTCTATTTAATTTAGAAAGAACACAACTGCAGTGTGGATGCAGGTGACGTTTTTTCGAAAAAAGGGCAGTTTATTCGAAAAAACCATGTAATATAGGCATACCCTTAGGTGGGCATCACTAACAAAATGGAAGCAGGGGTCAACGTCTCTATAGTTTATGAGAGTTAATAGGTAACTTGGGGATTGAAAATGGAGAAGAGAGGGAACAGATGAAGGGAGGGCATGGTCAAAGTGATGTGCTAGGAAAATGATCCTTGCAGCAGCCTTCTGAATGGATATTAGCAGGACAAGATTACTTTTTCAAGGCCAGAGAAGAGGCTGTGGCAGTGATTGAAGTAAGAGTTAAAACTCTTTAGATGCTTAGGCAAGGTTGTATGTTAAAGATATTCTACAACAATAACTGGGAATATTTAGACAGTTTAGATGTGAGATTCCAGAAAGAAAGCAGAGTCAAAGATCACATCAAGTTCTGACAGGGAGTAGGGATGTAATAGTGTGGTCGACTAAACAATTAACTGATAAGGTGCTTATTCGTTAACGTTATCGACAACATGCAACATCCACACCCTCAAGTACATTTTTTTAGCAGGCTAGCTGACAGGCTGGCTCAATCCCAGCTTGCGCCAGGACCCAGCATCAACCCCCATGCTGGCTCTTAGTGCTTATAGTACAGAGCCACGGTGGGAGTTGTCAGACCCAGCAGGAGCTGGGATTGAGTGGAAGCAGTGCTACCCCTTATTAACTGTGTAGTCAACAAAATTTGTGTTGATTACACAATTAACGAATTACCCACTTCTTAACAGCCCTACCAGCAATTAACGAATTACCCACTTCTTAACATCCCTACCAGGGAGGACAGAGGAGGACAGAGGAGGTATCCACAGTGCTTGAGAAATGGGGGAGGAAAAGATTATGAGTTTAAACTGCCAACTGAATCTTCAAGAGAGATCAGAGACGGAGGCTAGATTTCAGTTTGGACAGAAACAGATAGATTCAGAGATCAGTGATGTTGGCATAGAAATAACTGAATGCAAGGTGGAACCTACAGAGAACTGGGAGAGGGGATGAGGAGGATTCTTCAAACAACATGCTGAAGGAACAATTAGAGAGAAAAAAAAATCAAGAAAGGACTAGTCACCAAAGCCAAGCCAGCTGAGTTTTGCAGAGGAAGAGCACAGCTGTGTCAAATAACGCTGTGAGGTGCAGGAGGAATAAGCACTACGTCTGAGGGGGCATTAGAGATACTGGGCATGTCTACTTGTACAGAGTTCCCCCATCAGTACAACAAAGCCACCTCTGCGGGTGGCAGAAGCTCTGCGGAGGGAGACGCTCTTGCACCCGCACATCACTGAGGACCAGCACTGGGGGTGGAATTCATGTCGCCCCGGGGCGGTTTCTTTCCACGCCGCGGCTCAGCACTACGTCTGAGGGGGCATTAGAGATACTGGGCATGTCTACTTGTACAGAGTTCCCCCATCAGTACAACAAAGCCACCTCTGCGGGTGGCAGAAGCTCTGCGGAGGGAGACGCTCTTGCACCCGCACATCACTGAGGACCAGCACTGGGGGTGGAATTCATGTCGCCCCGGGGCGGTTTCTTTCCACGCCGCGGCTCAACGCACACGCAGAGACCGGAGTCCCGGTGGGGTGGGAGGGGAGGCCGCTGGGTGGAGCTGTGGGTGCTTGGCCGGATTCAAAACTGGCCCGAGCCCCCCACCCAAGGTGCCCCCGAGCGGCTCAGCAGAGACTCCGGCTGTGAAAAAACCGCCGGCCT